TGGCGTCCGGGCAGTAATAAATCGGGGCAGAGGGCTGGGTTCGGACAGTGAATAGGTTCGGACAGCGGTGGCGATGGTGCTGTGGCAGCCCGACGATTGATTCCGACGACGGTACCAGGCGTCTCTCCCATTTGAATTGACTCGAACGAATCCAATTGAATACGTGGACATCTAAAACTAGAATATGCATCTAGGTTTGAAATTTCGTTCATAATTGTTATCGTGGTTGATTTGTGTGATTTATCTGTATAATTGTTGATCGTGGTTTCGGGAATTGTTGTCGTTAAATCAAAAAGAGTAGTATGCATGATTTAGGCATTGATTGATGAATTAATGTGCTTGATAATGTTTATGATGTTAATATGAACCTATTGGTGTTTGTTATTCTGAGGTTGTTGGCGTGAGGACGGTACCCCGTACCGTGACAGGTACCGTCTGGTACCTGACGCCGGGTCTGTTGATCTGTGTTTTCGTCAAGGATTGATTCCGAGACTCCATGTGAGCATGATGGTAATCGGTAAGAAGTGATTCTTCCGATCGGCCGCTGAGTGTGTTGTTCTGTTTATGGAAATGTTAAAGTGTTTGTTGTCACTTGAGAACTCTGTTGAAAATTAGCCACCTAGTATACCTAGGCGGATCTGAACTGAATTGGATAGTTTAATTACCAATAGGACTGTTGTTAGATTCGGGCCTTGTGGAGCATGTTTGCATATCCAGTGGTCCAGGGTTCAAAACATACGTATGGGAGTTCACTGTTCTACCTAAGAGATTCCTTGGTAGAACTCCAACCCGCCCATTGAGGATTCTCTTTGGGTTTGTACGAGCATCGGCCTCGAGGGATCCTCTCGAGCGTCCGTAACTCTAGGCTGTTGATTTAAGGCTTAGTGTTGTAGGGACAAATTTAGCCCATTGAGAATAAATGAATTGGAACTGTTGGATCCTTGTATACCGTATAATTGTTGCTATGCATATTATGTACATGATATCATGTGATGGATGTGAATTAGTGGATTCGCCTTTGTGTATGTTCTAATTGTTAGATATTTCTCACTCAGCTTCATTGCTGAGCGTATAGCCCTTTTTCCCTTTGTTACACGTAGGTGGTCGTGGAAGATTGATTTTGGGAATTCATCCCGGAGAGTAGCATGACGGAGGAGATGTACAAATGCAAAGATTTAGTAAAGATGATAATTAATTAAATTATAAGGCTTCCGCACTGTTTGTATAAACTCCGATGTGTACTTAAATGATTTTAAAATGTTTGAGTTCTAAATTAAATGTTTTAATTTATTGGAAAATATTGTACGTGGATACCTATTTAGTAGCAACCCGATTTGCTAATCTATTTATTCGGGTTACGCGGGTTGGGGTGTTATAGTACCTCATTTGTGGCATTGACAGGAGCTTCAGCAAGGATATACTAGTTGGCTTCCTCAACATATTCCAATTGGGTTGGATTTTGAAGTTCATCAGCTTCCAGTTCAGTGGATCTTCTCTAAGTTTCTACCTCTGGGAAGTGATCAACTGCATCTTCTTGTGTATGCTCTGAAGTTGCTGCAATGTGCTCTTGATTTGTGTCCTCAAGAAAGTGATCTGCACTCCCATGAGAGGTTGTTTCTGGAATGTTAGCAACATCTTCTTGAGTTTCAACCTCAATTCCTAGGTTGGTGATCTCATACGTAGTGGTGGCAATTTGTTTTCCTTGAAGAAATTGGTTGACTCCTTCAGTTTCTGCTGCTGCAGAAGACTCCTCAGGTTTTTCTTGAATCTCTTATGCTGCTTGAGATTCATCAGCTTCTTCTTGAAAAATTGGAGAGTCTCCAGCTTCTTCTTGAATATTCTCTGCTATTTCTCCTTGAATGTCTTCCGGTGCATCTATTTGAATATCATCTGGTGTAGAAGATTCCTTAGCTGAAGTTTGGGCTTCATTCCCAAAAGCTGCTGGTTCCTCTGTGTTTGGAGCATCAACATCATCATCCTCAGGGAAGGGGGAGGATGACACGAGTTCCAGGAACATGTGATTGGTTATTTTGATCATCCAGTCTTCATCAAGAAGCAGTTCACAAGAGCTGTTCAATGGCATTCCCATGCATTTCTTAATGACCTTCTCATTTTTCACTTGAGACCAATACTGCAGTTGATCTTCTAAGTTGCTGACTTTGCATAGTCTCCACTCATTATACAGCTCAAGGAATTTGTGCATCTGGTCATCAGAATTGGATAATGATGAGAAAGATGGAGTTCCTTGCTCTTGAATCTATTCATCATCAGGCTGTTCTTGAAAAAAGATTTTCCTGAACATGGGCCTGCGGTTGGTCCCCTGATTCTTCAGCATTTTAAGACTTAGAATAAATGATGTTCTTCTGCTTCTTCTTCGAAATTTTCTTGAAGGCAGTTGCTAGAACTCATTTATAGAAGCAATTTGTTCATGAGCAGGGCAAGATTTGCCCTCTCCCTTGCTTCTAGTGTAAAACATCCAGTACCTCTGATGATAGCCTGTACCAGAATTGGCCACTTTGAGGCACTCTAACATATAACCTATGTGGAGTCCTTGGTAGAGAAATTTCTGTTGTTGGCTTACATGCTTTGAAATTGAAATGAAGAAGTGCTTTGCCCAATTTACCTGGGTTTTGTTGAGAAATGCATTAAGCAAAAATGCCCTTTCTTGAGTAATGTCATATGTGTGACCTATATTGCCACACTCCACACAGTTGGTGATGATATCCAGTAGAATCGTGTAGTCATTCTTCAAATGACATTTCTTGGCTTGGGATGAGGGAGCTTCTCCAGAAGTCCCAAACTCATTCCAGTTATTGGGCAGTTTGAGTGAGTTCCTTAGAAGCTTCTCTGAGGTTTTTACCTTCTTTGCGCCGATGATGGTCTGAATCTTGGTCGTAGAAATGAGATAATATTAAACTTCATAGATGACAAGAACATTCTCTTGAAAATAAATAGTTTTCTCTCAAAATATATGAATTTGAGGAAAAAATAGATGGAGGATTATAACCTCAAGATATGGGAGTTTTGGAGTGTTTCTTCATGTTAAAAATGACCAAGGAATGATGTTTAAATAGGAGTTGAAGGAACATATCCGCTGGTCCAAGAAAAGGAGTTTTGCTAAAAATGCAGACAAAAAATCGATTAATACAGCTAAAATAATCGATTAATTCTTCTTAATGAAAAAAATGATAATCGATTATTTCAAGATGGATTAATTGATTAATTTCTTTTGAGCGAAAATCCTTCAACAAACTGAAAAGATAATCGATTAATGCAAAGGGTGTTAATCGATTATTGTCGCAATAATGCCCAAACATGAAGACCACAAGCATGTGTGCGATGTGGAAGATGTTTTGGACATTTGGGGTTGTTTTGGACAAGAAACTCAGATAAGGAGGCTTCTAATCCAGCAACTTAATTCAAATTCAAATTTTAATTAAGAGATTGAATTTTTGGTGTAGGAAATGAGTCCCAAAAATATTGTGTCAAACGATGTACTAGAAAAATATGTGAAACTAACTGTCGGATACCCCATATTTTGAGAAACTAACTGCCGGGTACCTCATATTTTCAAAATATACTCCGAGGTACCTTCTATTTTAAGAAACTAACTATCGGGTACCTCACATTTTTAAAATATACTCCGAGGTACCCTCTATTTTGAGAAACTAACTATCGGGTACCTCACATTTTTAAAATATATTCCAGGATACCTCCAAATATACATTAATTTTACGCCTCCAAAGTATTGAGTACAATTTTCTTCAAATTAAAAAGATCTTGGTTACTTTTAAAACCTAAGTCTTTAGACAACGTCTTCAAAACGCCAATGTCGCCATCTTTAGAAACGTCAATGCCTTTCTTGTGCTTTTTGTTCCTTCAAAGAAGTTTTTCTATGTGTTTGAATCTTTTCATTTTGTTCCATTTTCCCGACGGTTTGTCAATATCAAAACCTAAACGAAAACAAACATTGTCATTAACAAAACGTCAAAGTGAAAATATTTTCCAACAATTCCCCCTTTTTGATAATGACAAACCAATGCAGGGATATGCAAGTCAAGTTGGGTTTTCAAGATGAGTGTAATTCCCCCTACATCTTTGAAAACGTGATTCCCCCTCACTTGTTGCACATACCCAAACACTTCCCTTTTTGGCATTAGCAAAAAGCACTAAATAAAGTTTAAAAAGTGTACTCCCTGAGCATTGATGTTTAATACAAAACATCATTTGTGTATGTTCCCCCTTAAACTGATACCATTTTATAGCAAAAACACTTCCCTTGATGTAATTCATTAGGTTTTGTGCTTGGAGCATCCACTACAAAAATGTAGTCTTCAAACACACCTACAGATGCATCCAAAAATAAATTTTAGGTACCCAAACGCTTTTGGATCCTTGGGGTTAAAAAGTAATCCAATTGTTTGAAAAAAACTCAACATCAATTGTCAAAAAATATAGTAACGTAAAACGAACTTCCCCATTGATGCGGTTCGTTGGGTTTTGAGCTTGGAAGATCCACTACAATTTTGTAGTCTTCAAGCACACCCTTTTGTGTATCTAGTAATAACGTTTAGGTACCCAAAAGCTTTTAGGTCCTTGGGAGTTGGGCAAATAAACATCATAATCATATTTATAAGAAATGTCCCTATGTTTAGCAAAACAAACGGGAGCTATGTGTCTTATCTTAGAACAATAAGCCAACGCCGAAAACCGATGTCAAATATCAAAGTTTCCCTAATTAAAAGCCAAGCATTGGAAACACTTATATAATGTACTTTAGATATAAACCAAGTATAAAACCTAAAAACAACGCCATTAAAGTAAAAACCACGGCTAGCCAAGTTTATGCCGTTTCACATGGTTTTTTCCAAAAGACCAAAAATGAAAGGTGGCTTTTGCCAAAAGACCAAAAATTTGAATATTCCTAGAAATAAAAACCAATCATAAAATCGTAAAAACCACTTGGTTGATTCGGAAGCCAAAAATAAACACCGATTAATGTGTCTAGAAGCGAAAACCAAAGAAAAAAACCTAAAAACCATTTGGCTAAAATCAATGCCAATAAGAAATGCCGAAAACCAAACGCCATAGTTGAACACCGATAATCGATGGTTATGGTTTTGGTTGGGCAAGAACCATGGGTTTTAGAAACTTCAAAACAATTTATGAAAACACTCATTTGATGCATGAAAAAAATATTTTGTTTTGAGCCATGACGTAGAGAAATTGAATGAACTTGTTACACTAAAAACGTAAGTCTTTAGAAAACGTCTTCAAAATGCCAATTTCGCCATCTTTAGAAACATCAATGCCTTTCTTGTGTTTTTTGTTCCTTCAAAGAACTTTTGCTATGTCTTTGAATCTTTTCATTTTGTTCCATGTTCCCGACAGTTTGTCAATATCAAAACCTAAACAAAAACAAACATTGTCATTAGCAAAACATCAAAGTGAAAATGTTTTCCAACAAGGCTTGCTTCAGCTCCGAAACTTCGTTCAGCAGGCGGCAGTTCTCCTCGTTCAGTCGGGTGTTCTCAGCTCCCATCACCCCGACCATCCTGGATTGCTTTGCCAGCTCCTCTGTCTAGCTCTTTAGTACTGTGGCCAGCTCCTCATTCTTCTTCTTCAACTAGTCGACCTGAGTAGTAGAATACACCCCAAGCCGACCAGCAGTGATGGGCCCGATCTCCGATCCCTAACCTATAAATTTAAACTCCCGGTCAGGTCTTTATGAAAGTAAAAAAAGAATGACTCGGGGAAAGGAATATGACTTACCTCCCTCAGCCTCAAGCCGAAATTGACGAAGGCTTCTTCGATGGTCAGGTTATGTAACACCCTAATCCGTCCAGGTCTGCAGCCACTTTCGGACTAAAGTATAAACTTGGTATTCGTAAACATTCAAAATATTTCAAACATTTTTAAAATTTATTTCATAATAAATCATTCAGGATAATAATGGAGTATTTTAAGTTGCGGAAGCTTAATAAATTACAATTACAAACATAATAAATTTATGTCTTTTAAAACAGTAATTCAAGTTCACACATCTATTCCGACCATCTCGCCCCATCTGCCTCCAGGAACTCATCATTTCATTCTTTTTGTTTACCTGCGTGTAGCAAATAAAACATACTACACGCTCAGCAATAAAGGTGAGTAAGCATATCTAGTGCGTCGAACATCCATATAAACTAAATCTCAATTCATAATCAAATCATTGGATATTATGCACATAATATTCAATTCAAGCATTCATCATTAATGATATTCACAATAGTTTAATTCAAGCCATTTCATGATATATACAATATTCAATATTCAGTATTTCAACAGTGCTTTTAAATTACTCTTAATCTAAGGCTAAATCATTTTGATAACATGATTAACCCTATGAGTCTTTTGGATCACGTACCAACCGAACAGTGAACTGTCAGGCGGGTGATATCCTGTTTGGATCTTGTACGTATGTTTTAACACCGAATTTCTGAACTGGTCACATAGGTATATCTTAGAGTTCTTCTAGATATCTTTAATAGTCAAGATCAATTATCCAAATGGTTATATCTTAGTTCTAGATACCCTTAACAATACACATCATTTTCATAATCATCAATATGTCCATTTTTAGCTATGATTTAATCATTCCTAATTATTACTTTAATCAGAATATTAAAGTTTAAACATCATTATCATCAAACAATAATATTTATCATAGTCATCAATCAATAATAGTCATTAATAACAAATAGCGGCCTAGCGTCGAGTGTTAACACCCTATCTTACCGTCATGCATCAAACAAGATTTTGTTGGTCCAAAATGTCATTTTTATATCAAGAAATCATCTTTGTATTGATCATAAATCATTGGTATCAAAAATAAGATTTTAGGGCTCAAAAATAGCATTTTCAAAAATATTTTCAGATTAACCAGTTCGGGGTATCAATCTAGCACCCAGGATCGATCTTCCCGTATGGATCGATCCATCAAAGCCTTTCGTTTACTATTAGTGGCCTAGCGTCAAGTGTTAACACCCTATCTTACCGTCATGCATCAAACAAGATTTTGTTGGTCCAAAATGTCATTTTTATTTCAAGAAATCATCTTTGTATTGATCATAAATCATTGGTATCAAAAATAAGATTTTAGGGCTCAAAAATAGCATTTTCAAAAATATTTTCAGATTAACCAGTTCGGGGTATCAATCCAGCACCCAGGATCGATCTGCCCGTATGGATCGATCCATCAAAGCCTTTCGTTTACTATTCATCATCATCTTTTTTGTTTGCCCATTTTGCTCCAACTTTATTTTTGGTCACCAAACTTTAATAAAATTATATAGAAATATTATCCAAGGTTTATAGGTCATTTTGGTATTATTAATTCATAGTTTTAACTACAAATTCAAAGTTTATGATTTTTGATTCTTTAAGCATATCAAACACAAAACTCAACCAAACGACCGTTTATGAACGTAGAAACGATCTATACGAACATTCTAGTCACTAGATATATCTACGGGCTTACCTCGAAGCTTGATGAAGGTTTTGGAAATTTTTCGGTGAAACTTCCCACAAGAATTGTGGCTAAATCTGGTGACGAGAAGCTCTCTAGACAACACTACTTTACTCTCTACACTCACAGCTCTCTTTTGGAAGAAGAATAGTGAAAAATGGAATAGTTTTGAGGGCTTTATATAGTAGAGGAAATGAGAAGAAGACATGGATGACCTCTGCAGCTCTGTTATTTTGGCATCTCAATGGAGGGGGCTGCGATGTTTACGATTCAAAATGCTAGTCCTTGATTGGGACTAATTTCAGTCCCAGTTAAGGTACACTTTTTGGTTCAACTTTCTTCGAATTGAATTCCGTTTGCACCGTTGCAGTCAGACTACCAAACTCTACACAGCGATATAAATTTTATTATATATTGTCAAACTTTATAAATCACTTATTGTTGGGTCTTTCTCAGTAACTAATTAATTATCAATTAATTAATTTTGATAGGCCTATTTTTGGGGCCTTACGGGTTAATCGTCTCAGAATCTACCCTCTGCCTCTTGGCAATGATAGAGGGGTGGATTGTAGCAACCTTTTTCACCTGCTTCCGGGTCTTTTCCTTGGCATTGGGGGAGGGACTTTTTCCCTTTGACCGGGTATCCCAAAGCTCCTCCTCAACAAGAATTTCCACGATATTCTGCTGGACCAGGATAGTCTTCGAGGAAGTAGCGGCCTGAGAGCGACCGGCCTTGCCAACATTCTCACTAGTGGGGATCTCGAACTCTTCAAATTCCATGTCTGAAAAATATGAAGAAAAAAAATCAGCAAAGTATAAATACATGTACCGGTAAGAAAAGAACAAAAGGTACAAGGCAAACCTGAGTGATGATGGCCCTTAGCCTCTACAGTGTTGCTTGGGGAGGATACCCCATGCCCCTCTGCTTCATGGGCCTGCGAGGTACCCTTGACACCTTGGTTGATCCTCCAGACCCAGCTTTCGTGGTGATATTTTATCCTGGTGTAGGGATCCCCACAGAGCAGCTTTTCCAAACTCTTCTCCAAGTTAAGAGTGGTGGGCGGTTTGATGAACTCGTGATTTTGGAGGTGGTTGTTCCACCTCAGACCGGCCAGGGGAGAGTCAAATGGGGGGAAATCAATGAAAAAAACTTTTCTTTCCACCCCCGGTTGCTCTAGGGCAGGTCAGAAATGAACTTCTGGCCAGGGCGACCCTTTAAGTATACAAATCCATCACAGCTGGGTCGCCCGGGGAGGACTTCAAACAAAAACAAGAATAGACGCAAAGAGGGATCAATGCAAAGATGTGAGCAAATATTTACAAAAGAATTCAAGAGATAATGGGCATTGGGAGTAATTTCACAGGGAAGGATTTGGAGGGCATAGGAGACTTCAACTAGGAGGGGGCGGAGAGGAAAGACTATGTCGCCCTCCAAGGAGGTGATGTGGAAATCTATCCTATTTTCTCGTTGGGGTTCGACTATGTTTGGCCACTTTTCTTCATATTGAAGGGCATATCCCTCCAGGAGATTCTTACGAGCTTTATTCAAAGCTATTTTGGAGACTTGGGGGGGGGGGGGGAGAATGTCCAGGACATAGAAGGTGGGAAGGGGAAAGTAATCGACATTCATAAGCCTTTGCTCCCACTCCACCTAGGTCTCGTTGTCCGGATCATAGTGACCTGGTTTCTAATTGACCGACTCCTCCCATTACTCGAAAACTTGAACTGGTAGTTGATTGACCGATTCAGGATCGGGAACAGGAGTTTATTGAGCCTGTCTGGACTCAAAATCAGAAGAAAAGTAACCGGTAGAGGAAGAGGACATGACGGATTCCCCATATGCGTAGGCATCTAAAAAGAGGGGTTTTGACTATCTTCCTCCGAAGACATGCCCGGGAAAAGAAAATAAAGAGAGAAGGGAAAGGCGTACTTGACTCGGAGGGCTGGAAGACTAAAGCTGGGAACTTGATCGGTATAAACTCGAGGGCTAATGGGCGCAAAAGGTGAAGGAGTGAAGGGGCGAGAGGCCTTTATGTAGGCGAGCAAAGGGGGAAAAAGGCGATGTGGCGAGCAACGGTTGCATCACGTCAGGCGCCATCATGATGCATGGGGGAGTCGAAAGGTCAGGGTGACAGCGCAGTGATGACAACAGTTTGTGGGAGACAAGTGTCAAAAATCAGAGTTCAAATTTGAATTTTGAAAATTTTAGGTGGGAAAGATCCAAAATTCGAATTTTAAGTGATCCGTCTTCTAGATTTTCACTTCCGCCCTTGATAATTTACAAGGCCGAGATGTGGAGGGCTTATTGATGGGTGTATTCCACCCAAGACCGGTCCACGGTTAGGTCCACAACGTCTGACCGGTCAAATGATAAATTATTAGAATAGGAAACCTAAACGACAAAGGTTCATACCGGTCGGCGTTAGAAAGATGACCAGTACACTTTAACTCTTTTATCAGTCAAATTACGAAGCCTTTTTTGATAATCTCCAATCTCCATAAACCCATTATGCGTAAACCTAACCGGTAGGATTTCTATGGCTGGGAAGTGTCGGCACGAAAGGATCCAGAGGAGGTTGGACAATAGCGACTGAATTCAACGAAAGATCACCTAAGATATTCGCACAATCTATCCACACACTACGCAATAAGGAAGTCACCTTCCTAGCAAAATGACAAGAGAATAAAGGGAGAAGACAAGCCACTAAGAGACAAAGGCAGTCACCTTGCGCCACCCAAGACGTGGCCTTGATACGAATATCGTATCGGATAGGGAAGAACTTCGATCATTCTTCAAGCTCCAAGATGAAGAGGTAAAGAAGGGTGGAAAACTTCGAGCGTTTCCAGGCTCTAGAGGAAAGAGAACGAGATTAAGATAATTCTTGATTATTCATTGATTGATTAATAATAACGAAAGATTACAATATATAAAGATGCAGAAAAACCCTAATTTACCTAATGGGCTTAGGCCCATACTAAAACCCTAAACCATCAATAAATAATAATAAATAACTACTAAATAATAATATACTCCCTCCGTCCTATAATGATCTTCGCAGAGCACTATTCCAACTTCACGGGAATTTATATTTATTTGTGTTTTTTCATGGCCTATATGATAAAATAAAATATTCTTGTCACCACTTGTTTTGTTGAACTTTTGATGTAGTTTTTAAATATGTATGTTTTATTTTTTATTTCTATACCAATATTTAAATAAAATAGATTGAAAAAACTTGGGATTTTTCTTCGTTTTGCGAACCGGGAAGATCATTATAGGACGGAGGGAGTAACTAATTAAAATATTATAATTAACTATCTGTATCATTCCCACTCCCTTAAAAACCACCTTGTCCTCAAGGTGGAGGCTCCCACTTGTGCTTCTGAACTGGAAAGATAATGCTAAACCAAAGGAGCAGTCCACTCTTTGAATCTTCAACCATCTTGGATCTTAGAGCAAACTGAGGAACATGTGAGATAGAGCCAATACCCAGTGTAGGTTCTCTTGGTGAAACTAGGTGCTTTGTCTTGACCGCATCAACATTGTCAAACAACTTAATGGTGTCAAATAAAAAGGGGTTGTCCGCATGCTTATTATCTGCATCTGCCACCTTGTTGGCACCTTCTAGAAGGGCAAGCTCTGCAACGACTACATAAGTTGAGGCATTGACCGGATCATAACATTCACGTGATGGAAAATCTATGGTGTCCACATTAACAATATCTTTTGAAATATCACCTTCATTATTTTCAACGGCGTTGGACCTTTCGTCATCTTCATTCATGAGTTTAGGCCTACTGTCCATAACATCCCCAACATGTGATTCGACGCTTGAGTCATCCTTTAATTCCTCTTCATGAGACTCAATGTTTTGTATGGTGACCACAAGAGCCAAATTTGGTGGAGAAAGTGGGGCACTAGTGAGATTCTCGATGACCTTCATCATGTTTGTTTTGAAATTTTGTAACTCCAACGAAATCAAACTCGACAAAATTGGAGGACCACGAACCAAATCCTGTACCGAGCAAAAAATTTCTACGTCAAGCGCATCATAATCAATTTGCCCTTTAAAATTATGGATCGATCTGAGCTTCATACAGATCTCATACACATGATCAAAAACCATACACACTCCTTCATCATGCTCAATTTCTCCATAAAGAACTTTTTCCAGCAAATCAATGAGTTTGTCAAATGCAGAGTCCATTTTAAAAATAAACACTGCCATACAAAAATATCACCAAAAAAGAAACTGTAGTCGCACAGCAAGGAATTTGAACCAACTTTTTTTGGAATGGTGCGTAGCAGTTCTCCACTAAAAAAGTGGGGTGGCACCTACTTCTTTTGGATCTTGAATCAACACGGGATTGCAGCGGGACAATAATCTGGCAAAGGGAATTGCTGGAATATGTGAGCGGCCAATCTGTCAGTGTGCTACAGAATCAATTAGAACGAAATTGCAACGACGACTGCAAATCTCGTGCGCCTACAAGGCTATAACGGCGATGGCACCTCTGCAACGCTGATGACAATTTTTTTTTTTGGTTTTTTGGTGAGTCTCTCAATGAGAGCACCAATTGATACGAATATCGTATCGAATAGGAAAGAACTTCGAGTGTTCTTCAAGCTCCAAGATGAAGAGGTAAAGAAGGGTGGAAAACTTCGAGCGTTTTCGAGCTCCAGAGGAAAGAGAACGAGATTAAGATAATTCTTGATTATTGATTGATTGATTAATAATAACGAAAGATTACAATATATAAAGACGCAGAAAAACCCTAATTGACCTAATGGGATCAGGCCCAGACTAAAACCCTAAACCATTAATAAATAATAATAATAAATAACTACTAAATAATAATATAACTAATTAAAATATTATAGTTAACTATCCGTATCAGGCCCAACATGGGTGTGCAGCGTCTTGTCCCTTATAGCTTCCTATAAATACTTGTGTAACGCTCAAATGAAAGGATCCGAATTTCATCTCTCTAGAATTCGTATTGTAATAACTTCCGACACTTTCTTGCATACTTTGTAACAATTAGACTACAGGTACTTCCACCTACGGTCTTACCGGTCATCCTTTGTGTCCCTACGTCTTTCAAGGTATTTTGTTCTAAAAAATAATGTTGCTTATTTTGATGTATTCAACTACCGACCCCTACATTTGATTTTTTAATTTCTCACCAAACAATAGTGATTATGAATTATTTCAAAAAAAAGTGATTATGATTTGATATCTATTTTTTTCCTCAAATATTTTCCTCGCAAATTTTTGAATCCATAGTTTTTTCTTTAATATTTCAAAATTAATATATTATCATATTTTCAAAACTAACCAAATCGGTCCAAAATATTTTATAGTTTAAAGCACCTAATGTTTTAAAAATTAAATGTGCCAAGAGAAACGAAAACAGCGAGATTTAATTGGAGGGTGTAAAAAAATGATTTAAAGACAATGGATTTGACAATTAATAGTGACATGAATTGAATACACGACTAAATGCAACCATGACCACATTATTTTGTTTAAAATAATGTTAAAACTCTATCACTTCAAACTTAAATTTATATAGAATAAAAAGTACAAATTATACTATTTAAATTATATCAAAAGTTATACTCCCTCCGTCCCTAAATAAAGTTCCATTTTTGACTTTTTAAGGATTTAAGGGAGGGATATTTTGGTGTTGACTTTCCAAAAATATCCTTGATGTAATGTGTTAAAGTAAGATGTGATAGGTAGATTATTAGTAAAAAAGTATGATGTGATAGGTAGGGTATGAAAAAGTAATGGGTAAAAGAGGTTTTCTAAGGAAAAAGAGAAGTTTATTTAGAGACAAAAAAAAACGAAAGAGGAGCTTTATTTAGGGACGAAGGGAGTACGAAACAAGTGATAATAATATTTTATTTTATGAAATTATCAATGAAATATAAAATCAAGTAAAAGTTATAGTAAAATCGTAATAGTAACAACACAAGCTATTTTGGGATGATGGGAGTATATTCAAGATAAAGTTAGTAATTTGATTTTTAGGACTTTTGGTGCGATACTTTGACATATCCCCGAGTATATATTTTTACATTATAAGTACTCTCTTCATTTTGTTCCGTAAAATAATTATCTCACTGCAAAGTATAAACAACCAAGAAAATCTTTTCAAAGTATCTAATAACTTCTAGGTCAATCCCGAAGGAGTTAATCTATTTATTTAAAAAATAAAAAAAAATTCTAAACATTTCAACTTAAATTGATGATATAAACGCCAAACTATAACTCAATCAATGTTTAATGCAAAGTGTATCCAATCAATTAGCTACAAGAGCATTCATTTCTTTATAAAGACTCATCATTTCCTTTTTTCCGAAAAAAAAATTATGACTTACAATCTTTTTCTTTTTTCTTTATGTCTTTTAATTACACAATTTTATTTTACTTAAATTTTATATCAAATCAAATGAGGAATCTGTGCTCAAAAAAATGAGGAATCTTATTTTGAGATGGATGAGTACAATAATTTGATAAGAAAAAACAAATACAGTACAAAACAAGGAGATACATACTAACACACCAATTTTCTTTAAAAGGACCCCATCCTCTCCCACTTGCATTGACGATTTTTCAGCAATCACAACTTCCCTTCCTTTTCACGTTCCTCCATTATCTATTTCCCTCATGTACTTTTCTTGATGCTATGAGAAAAAAGAAATTGCTATAGCACTGCAAATTCATCTTTCTTTTCTTCACGTTCTTGATTTTTTTTTGGAAATTCAATCACAGTTACCCTTTTGAGCCATAACAAAAAGGGGCAACTTTTTCAGTTTTTTAAGCATTAGTGGAGTGATCGGAGTCTCCCATTTGTGAGAATCTGTTATCAGGTAAAGCTTGTGATTTTGCGGAGCTGTGACAGACAAAAAGATTATTTCTTTAATGTTTTCTTGATCTGAGTATATTATATAAGGCTTCTGTTGTTTGTTTCTCCTCTGGTTTGGACATTTTTCAGAGCATTTCTCGTGCATATTTGAGCATTCCCAGAGAGCATTGCAGAAGAAGTGAAGAAGGCCACAGAAAGGAGGTCTCATGGCGGTCGAGCAGAGTTATGTTCCTGCAAAACCCATTTCTTCTTTGTTGGGTTCTCCAAGAATCTTCAAAGGGTTTTCCAGTTGGACTCAACCCGACGCCGAAATTCGCAGCCCGACCTCCATTCTTGATGCCAAACTGTCTCTCAATTCCGGATGCGAAAGGACCCTGAACTCGAGCTCTGGAATAGGCCTAGCTGCTCTCATTAACTCACTGGATGATGATGACAATGATAATAACAATAATAACAATTCTGAAGAGACTGATCCCACTTCTCAAGCTAAAAATGTCAGAAAGGTGCTGTTTGGATCAAAACTCAAGGTTCAGATCCCTCCGCCGGATGGTTCTCTTACGACGGATTTCGGAATCAAAACCCCGAGGAATAATGCACCATACCATCATCCCCAGGCTAAAAAAGAATCTCCTCCCAAGACAGGAGATGATCTGTCCCTGTGTGAAATGGAGCTCTCTGAGGACTACACATGTGTGATCACTCATGGGCCAACTCCAAGAACCACCCACCTGTTTGATGACTGCATTGTGGAAAGCTGTTGTGGCATTGTTAGGTTGTCTGAACTGAAAAAGGATAACAATGGCTTTAGAACTCATCATCAGCCATCATCTCCACCAGTGGGCTTTTGTCACACCTGCACCAACTTCAAGCTTGGAGATGATGATGATGATGATGATGATGGCAAGCACATCTACCTTCATGGGTCAGTCTTATTTTTCTTTTCCTATTAATTAATTCTGAGTCATATTTTTAAATTTTACAATTAGGAATGATAATGTGAAGGGATTGAACTAATCAAGACTACTGGTGTGAGTCAATGTGAATCATATTCATATGCTGTAGGTTACAGGGCCTAGACCACTTGAAGGGATACAAGAACCAAACAGGAAATGAATTTGAATAATCCTTTTGACAAATGTCAAGAAATCAACTCAACCAAAAGCTCAAGCTTGTAGTTGTGGCCTAGGAAATGTTTCTTACATTCTAACACACCCTCTCACGTGCAGACGTAGTCTTTTTTGAGCCTTGCACGTGAAAACTTTAACTTTTTTAAAAAAATTGGGTGGCGCTCAGTTTCGAACACATGACCTCTTAGTATTCTAACAACAAAATTTGGCTCCAAATATTTGGAGGTTTCAATCATTCAATTCAATGGATATCATTGCCCTCCAATAATTGATTCAAAGAATTGACCCCTTTATTAAAACTCTCCGTCTATGAAACTTCTTTCACAATAAATTTAGCACGATGGTTGAAAAAGGTAAATATTATCTGCATTTTATACTGTTATTAAAGTGTATGTTTTTTGTGGGATGGCTAAAGTGGAGAAGAAGAAAAACAAAACAGAATCCAAAGCACCAAAATTCTTATAAATAGGACCAACCCTTTTTGAAGACAAAGACAATAGACACATCCTTGTAAAAGGGACCACCAGATGAGCATTTTTGGCCAATTGAGTTGTTCGTTAGGGTAGGATGACCAGTTCTTGTGGGGGCACTGGTCAGCCAGTAAACACTACTTTCACTCCGCACATTGATTGCCCAAAAATGGACCCCCAACTATTCCTTCTCACCACTGCACTTTTCGTAAATGATTCAGGCCCCACCAGGGCAATTGTTACAAGAGGGGTGGTAAAAGGGTGTTGTGGTCAAGTTCAACGCCCGGAAAGGATAGGGTAGGATGTTTATTTATGCTTAGGATAAGAGAATAATGCTAAAAACCCACCACGGGTACCTCTATGGATGACAATCATAGATGATTTTTATGCATATACACACGATTATCGTCTCTCTCCGCATATGATTATCGTTTGTATATGTATAAATAATCTGTAGTTGTGATTCTTGAGGGCACCCGTGGTGGGTTTCTAGCATATTCCGCATAAGGTCCTTGCAAATACCCACAAAAGATCCCAACTCTATTGATCATTTGAAATTAGTGTTTCATTTAATAACTGTCCAAGCCGGACCTGGGTACCTTAGAAAATGATTCAGGCCCCCCTGGTTAAAGAAGCCCCTACCATACCCTCTCTGATCTGTCATCGTTTTCTTAGGTTAATTTGTCTGTTATATTTACTGATGCTTTTCTGTGACAGAGATAAACTATTGGGTGACAATCAGTCTTGGCTCCGGCTTAGCCAAGAAACGCTCTCAGAAGAAAGTAAGGAGATGGGGATGGATGAACTTTACGGTTTCCGCTGAGATGAACTTTGTAATTTTACTTTACGTCCATTTCGTAGGCTCATTAAAATCTTTTTTTTTTTTTTTGCCTTGAGTTTATTTGCTGTGTTTAGCTCAATCTCCCTTCCACCTGCAAATATGATGGATAATTTGGATAGGGAGGAGAGGGCCATATGGTGGATGTACTACTTTGTAATCTTCTGTTGTAATGAAGCAGTTTGATGTGATCAATTATTTCCTGGGCCTTATTTTATGTTTTGGCTACTCCTGTAGCACCACATTAGTGAGGCTTTATGGTGCTTGATGGGGTGCCACATACATATGCCCGTGGGTGTGAGTAAAATGTGTGTTATGGGGTTTCAAAGGGCTTGATGAACACCAAGTAATTTCGTGAATATGTAGATTATTTTGATGGGTTATAATGAATGTTGTCATGAAATACGGAGAAAGTGAAAGATACTATCATTATCATCCCGCAACAATTTGTTTAGTGTTCGTACAAGATACTTAAACTTTGTTGTGTAGATCAATTTCTTGGAGTTTATTTCTTCATCTTGCCCAATCTTTTAATATACAAAGCCATTTTATTTTATTTTTGGATCTATTTTTAAAGGCACTGATGAGAATAAAGATCCGAACCACCTGTTATTTTTTAGGAAAGGTCTTTTAAAATGCATCAAATATTAAAAGTGAAATTTACACTAAATAAGACTAAAACATAATGACTTTCCTAATGTAGAACTTAAACTTTTTTATTCCCTAAATAGGACTTAATAATAACCTAGTGGAAGGAATAATGTCTAGTAATGATGGACATTCAGTTGAAGTAATATTGTTAAACTGCAATGCAAAAAAGAATATATCCAAAGCTGTGTTAAAAGATCCACACAAAAACAGTTTGACCAAAGTTCGATCCACAAAAAAATATAATTGAAAATGGGTTCTCATTATGTCTAAGGCACGGTTTAAGCCAAGTAATTTGAAATAAAAAGAGAAAATAGAAGATGAAAGTTCTAAAGGCAACCTCTGTACTCAGTAAACCCACAGTTATTATAGCAGATTTATAATAATCAGAACTCAGGACACACACACACGATGCTATAGCACTCTCTCTAACACAAAACAAAGTAAGGTGAAAAATAAAGTAAAGATGCAACACAGAGAAATTGTTTACGCAGTTCGGAAACTTTTCCTACTCTGCGGGGCCCACATCCGTGTAACAGCCCTTCCACTAAATCACCGTAATGATTACACCTTCAATAAGAAGAGACTCAATCTATTGTATTGACTTAACCAACTTACGGATGACTTTGATAACAAACTCTGTTTGTATCATTCACTCCAGCACTTCATAGATCATCTGCTGGATAGCAGACCTTCCTGCTCTCTGAGACGTATTTTCTCCACTGATCAAAACAGATTGTCAAAGATTAACAACCCATGAATCAGACTTTGATCTTGGTAATTCTATGTTGCACAGGATCTTTCTCTCTCTCTCTCTCTACGGCTCTGATTTATAAGCAACGCAGTGATATATATATATATATACATGGACAACAACAAGAAACCCTAGTAGAGTCCTTCGCAATAACCATCAACATGTGGGATGACTTCTAGCTCGATCTGGACAAGTATGAGCATACCCTTCAATGCGAGTTAGTGGCTCTATTTGATCATCTACTGGTTTTTGAGAGACCTGGTCATCTACTACGACGTTTATTGATTCCATGATGGTTTTTGTTCGCTTGTTGTATACTCGAAAGGCCTTGCTGTTTGGTGAGTATCCAACAAAAATAGCTTCGTCACTCTTGGATTCAAATTTTCCTTTTTGTTCTCGGTCTCTTAAAACATAACATTTTGCTCCAAAGATGTGAAAATGTGCCACACTTGGGGTTCTTCCTTTCCATAATTCATATGGTGTAGCCTGCGTTCCACTCGTGAGATACACTCGGTTGATTGTGTAGCATGCCGTGTGAACTGCCTCAGCCCACAAATTCTGTGGTAAGTTGTGAGTATTGATCATTGTATGAGCCATCTCCCTTACGTGTCAATTTTTCCTTTCTGCTACTCCATTTTGCTGTGGGGTTTTTGGTGCTGAAAATTCATGGCTTATCCTGTGGAGATTGCAGTACTCTTCAAATGGCCCATTATCAAATTCACCTCCATGATCACTTCATACTCGCACTACTTTCCTTATTTTCTGTTGTTTTTCATTCTGAACCTTGTTGCAGAGTGCCGCAAAAGCGTTCAGTGCATCATCTTTGTGCTTTAGGAAGCTAATCCATGTGTATCTGGTGTAGTCATCCACTACCATGAGAACTAACCTCTTTCCTCCTATACTTTCTATCTGCATAGGCCCAAATAGATCAATGTGCAGCAGTTCCAGAGGTCGTTTGGTTGTTAGCATTGATTTCTTTGGGTGGCTCTTTCTAATCTACTTTCCCTTCTAGCAAGGTCCACACACTTGATCGTCAGTCTGTGTGATTTTTGGCAGCCCTCGAACTGCTCCTGAGTTTGATAGCATCTTCAAGTCTTTGTAGTTGATATGTCCCAGTTTATAGTGCCATAATTTGGCGTCTCTTTCACTTGCAGCATAACATAGGATATTTGGAGTCACTTTGTAGCAATTGTCAGCAGTTCTATCTCCCTCTAGTACCACCAGTTTGTTTCTGTCCTTGATGCGACATTTCTGTTGTGTGAATACCACTTCAAGCCCTTGATCACAAATTTGACTAATGCTCAAAAGGTTCACTTGCAGTCCTTGAACTAGCCATACATTCTTGATTGGTGGAAGTCCAGATACATGCAGCGTTCCATTTCCGATAATCTGTCCATGGGCGCCTCCACCAAATCTTACATTCCCTCCTTCAATGGGTTGCACATTTGTCAGATTCTCCTTGTCTCCACTCATATGATGAGAACATCCACTGTCTAGGAGCCACTGATCAGGTGTGACTCGATAGCACTGATTTGCACAAGAGGCTTGGTGTTTGGGTACCCATTTCATTTTGGTCTTGACATGTCGTGTTGCACCAACTCTTCTTCTCTTTAAGTGTTTCAGTTTGTAACATTGACGTTTAATGTGTCCCTTTTTCCTGCAGTAGAAGCAAGTATAATTGAAATAAGGATTTAGAGAATAAGTTTTCCTTACATGATAGTCCGAATGCTGAATCACTTTCTCCTTGCCCTTGCTTGAGTTGTGTTCAGGAAACTCCTTTGTATCTGGTTCTTTGGTGAAGTCCCTTGATTCGTTTGTGAACAGGTCCAGTGGAGTCTTACTACCTTCAGATGCTATGTGCCCAATTCCAGATCTGTCCCCATAGAATTTTGACGTGCTCACCATCTTCTCGATCTTTTCAGCTCCTGCACTCTTCATCCACTTTTGATAGCTTTTAAGTTGAGTGAGTTCATATTTCAGATCAGACTTCTCTCCTTCAGTTTGGTTCAGCTGCTGCTTGACTTCATCTAGTTTCTTTCGAAGATCATCAACTTCTGCTCCCAGTTGATTCTTTTCTAAAATGTTCTTTCTATGAATACGAAGAAGCTCTGTCCACTTCTCTTGGAGTACTGAGAGTTGTTGAGCTGCATCCTCAACATTTTCTTCTTCATACTGGGTGACAAACGCACAATTGATATTCCCCATAACATCTTCAGTTTCTTCCTCATCATCACTCCATGTTGACATGAAAGCTTGCCTCTTCTTTTTGAGATTATTAGCACATTCAGATTGGATATGACCAAAACCTCCACATTCAAAACACTGCGGCCCCTTTTTCCTGAAATCATCATTTGAAGGTTTTGTCTCCCTTGGTCGTGCACTTCTGAATTGTATTCCTTTGGAGGAATCACCCTAGATGTTGTTCTTCCCTTTCTTTTGTATCCATTGCTTTTTGAGCTGTTTAGTGAAAAGTGACAGTTGCTCTTGAAAATCTTCATCCTGTGCAGTATCATCCTCATTATCCTCTTCGTCAGCCAGGCTGTGAAAAGCAATTGACTTTTCATTCTTTTTCCGTTTGATCTCTTCATTCATTTGCAGTTCAATAGTCTCTAGATTCCCCATAAGTTGATCTAAAGTCATATTCTTGATATCATGTGCCTGACGAATTGCTTTGGCATCCATTGCATAGGATTCCGGTAGAGCTCTCAACACTTTCAAAACTAAACTGTCTTCGGTGAATGGACGCTTCAGATTTTCAGCTTCATTTGCCAGCTCCCTTACTCTTCCATGAAAATCAGCTATCCTTTCTTTATCATCCATACGCAGGCTTTCATATTTAGTCATAAGAATCTGGATTTTTGCTGTCTTGACTCTCTCGTCCCCTTCATGTGTAGTTTCGAGAATTTCCCAGGCTTTCTTGGCCCCAGTGCAGTCTGAGATGAGCCTATATTGTGAACTATCAACAGCCCCAAATAATGCATTTAGTGCTCTGTCGTTGCATTCAGCAGCTTGGGCTTCTTCCTTTGAGTATTTTTCGAAAGTTTTGATCACTTTCACACCTTCTACATTTGTTTCTGTTGGCTCTGTCCACCCAGTTTCTATGATTCTCCATACTCTGCCGCCTTGTGATTTCAAGAACGCTCTCATACGTCCTTTCCAAAAGTTATAGTTTGGTCCTCTCAACAGAGGTGGTCGTTGAACATTTGCACCTTCCTCCATATCTCCCATGATCGTCTTCTTCAGCCAATAACTTAAGCTGATTAAGCTCCGATACCAATTGAAAGTTCTAAAGGCAACCTCCGTACTCAGTAAACCCACAGTTATTATAGCAGATTTATAATAACCAGAACTCAGGACACACACACACGATGCTATAGAACTCTCTCTAACACAAAACAAAGTAAGGTGCAAAATAAAGTAAAGATGCAACACAGAGAAATTGTTTACGCAGTTCGGAAACTTTTCCTACTCTGCGGGGCCCACATCCGTGTAACAGCCCTTCCACTAAATCACCGTAATGATTACACCTTCAATAACAAGAGACTCAATCTATTTATTGACTTAACCAACTTACGGATGACTTTGATAACAAACTCTGTTTGTATCATTCACTTCGGCTGATTACACCAACTTCATGCATCTGGATGTGTTACGACCCTTTTCCAGCACTTCATAGATCACCTGCAGGATAGCAGACCTTCCTGCTCTCTGAGACGTATTTCTCCACTGATCAAAACAGATTGTCAAAGATTAACAACCCATGAATAAGACTTTGATCTTGGTAATTCTATGTTGCACAGGATCTTTCTCTCTCTCTACGGCTCTGATTTATAAGCAACACAGTGATATATATATATATACATGGACAGCAACAAGAAACCCTAGTAGAGTCCTTCGCAATAACCATCAACATGTGGGATGACTTCTAGATCGATCTCGACAAGTATGAGCATATCCTTCGTAAGTCCTGAACATGGCAGGACGCTACAATCCCAAGCCAACTAATACAGATCAAAATATCATAACCCCAGGCTACCCAGACTCTTGGTACGGCATACACACTATAGTAACTAACAGAAGAGATTAAGGCTTTGAATTTGATCAGATATGATCAAATTGCACCCGATTTGATCTGATTAAATATATTCTGATCTGATTAAATATATTCAATAGAATTAAAAGGAAATTTTTTTAAAAAAAATTAGAATTTCAAGCATTTATTAAAACAATAATTCAATAGGCTAAAAGGGAAACAAATTCATTTTTTAATAAAAAATTAAATATAAAGTAAAAAAACTAAAACAAGATGAACATTTTTAGCATTTATTGATAACAATTTGATCTACTTATAATTATAAACGTATTTAATACAAAATAAATATAATAATTGTTTAAAAATATATCAACTACTGAACTTAAAATTAATAGAGATTTTTCTTAATATATAATAAACCTTTTCTTTAATAAACAAGACGTTCTCTCCAATATCTATAAATTTTCATATTTTCTTAATTTATACGGACTATTTGATATAAAGAAGTTACTTATTATTTTATATATTTAAATAAAAAATATGTATCTAAAATACAAATAGTATTTAATAAACAATCATTAATTCTTTATACATAAAAATGACACTTAGATCACTAAGTATATATTTAATAAAACATATATTTAAAAGACAAATATATATATATATATATATATATATATATATATATATATATATATATATATAATAAACCTTCTATTATACTACTTTATCAAATAGTATATATTTATACTAGAAGAATATTAGTATAATCCACATAAAAATTTAAGACAAATAAAAAATCATTAATTCTTTATATATAAAAATGATACTTAGATCACTAAGAAACTAACATATGCCATATTTATCTGGGTTTGTTACACACCTAATATATCTAAATTATAAACTTCTCTTATTTATAACAAAATTTTAGAATAAAAAAATAAAATACTCACTTCACATAGAAATAAATTTTATATTTGTTCATAAGTTTACCTGAGATTAATTTGATTATATTTATTTAAAATTTGACAACTAATAAATAGAATATTTTTTCACATATAAATAGAGTTTATATTTTTTGATACTTAATATGCCACCTAATGAAGTATATTAATTTAAATATTCACACTTAATAAATAATATATTTTCCTCACCTATAATGAAATTTCATATCTTTCTGACACATAATATGCCACCTAATTTAGGACATCTAAAACGTAAAATAAATGTTTTAATATAAATATTTGAAAAACATTAATTATGGACGAGGAATATTCATTTTATGTTTAGACAGTTTATGATTTATTGCTCTTAGATAATTTATGATTTAAATTTAAAGATATATTATTTTTAATTATCTATTATGATATAATATTTGAAATTATGTTATAGAATACAATTGACTCAAAAAGTGTACGTGTCAACATGACATAATATACGGAGTACTATATTTACACTAATTTTCTTTATTATTTTAACATTATTGAGCAAATTTGATTATGGAATACATTATAGAGATCATCGCTTTGATTAGAATATAAAAGTGTTTTTCTATTTTTATATTTCTTTCACTTCATTTATAATAAAACTATCGAAGAACAAAAAATATTTTCTTCGTTAGAAAAAGATATTTTCTTAACCTTCAAAATTCATGTTTGTTTATGACATGCTTAAGTGAAGTTAGTTTTTATATATATTATTTTTAATTATCTATTATGATATGATTTTTTTAATGTTTTTCAACGTCACACCCCTCGATTCATGATGCTCATTTTGATTTTCATCATTATCATCATCTATCTGAACATCTGGTGAATTATTTTTATTTCCTTTATTAAAAACACTTCTCAGCCTTCCACTCCTTCGAAGTGGTGTAGTTGATGGACTTCGAATAACAGCTTTTCTACCCTTTTTATTCCCTGGAGAGATTTTTGTACAACTCTCATAATAACATTTTAAAAATGATAAGATGCAGCTTCTCCATGCTATGTTGTAGTTGGAACAATATGTAGATCAAACCCAAAGTTGAACAGAATTTAATTTTATATTTTTTAAACATCAAAACCAGAAAATACAATTTCTCTATGTGCACATACTTTCCATACAAGATGCAACATGAAGAATATAAAATGCAATTCACACAATAATTGGGGTCTATTTCTCACTTGAACCACTCCCTATTTTCTCTATGTGCACAGACTTTCCATACAAGATGCAACATGAAGAATAAAAAATGTAACTCATACAATAACTATGGTCTATTTCTCACTTGAACCACTCCCTATTTTCTCTATGTGCACAGAATTTCCATACAAGATGTAACATGATGAATATAAAATGCAATTCACACAATAACCAAGGTCTATTCCTCACTTGAATCACCCCCTATTTTCTCTATGTGTACAGGCGTTTCATACAAGATGCAACACGAAGAATATAAAATGCAATATAACCATAACCAGGGTCTATATCTCCCTTGCCACCTCCATTTTTCTCTATGTGCATGGACTCCTATACAAGATGCAACACCAAGAATATAAAATGCAATTCACACAATAACCAAGGTCTATTTTGATATTTTTCAACAGCTCTCATTATACCATATTATAAGATGCAGATCCCACAAGATATGATGTAGTTTTCAAAGTTAATAAATTAGACTTAGAGATAAACACAATATATTTCTAATTTTTGAAAAATTGGATAATGGATTTTCAATAAGTGCATAGTCGCACAAACTTTCCATATTCAATGCAACACGTTTATACATAAAATGCATCTCACACAACTATCAGCGTCGATTTCAACATACAGACGCCGTACCAATTTTCGTTTAAAGTTAAACCCTAAAAGTCATCGATGCTGAAACAAAACTATAATATTTGAAAAAGTAATTCTAAGAATTGACAAATAATATCAAAGATCAATGCATTGAGAGAGTATTGGATTGTGTCGCATATAACCCAATTTCAACAAATTCACAATTGTACCTAAATTTCCTCCCGGATGCATTGCTTTCGTCATCGGAGGTGTTGAAATTGCCTATGTTGTCGGTGAAGTTGATCTCTCCATCCTATCGCCTTTTTCCTCGCGATTTGCACCGGTGGTTTTAAACTACAGCTTTTAGGTACATCTTGGTATTTAAACTACAGCTTTTTAAATTTTGTTGAAGTAATGATACGACTACTTCAAAAGAGTGGCACATTATATCGTACATCCAGCTGTGCCTTCTTTTAGGTACATCTTGGTATTTTTGTAAATTTTACAAACTTTTTATCTAATGTTAAAAACATATATGAGAATTATTATATATGACAATGAATACCAGCAAATTTGAGAAAGAGTACCAGCACTTATGAGAATTATCACATTTTTATTCAATACAAACATGAATAAACCTGGATTTTAAATTCTCCATGCTCAGAGAGTATAAATGAGTAGGAACGAATCGAATAGAGGAAGAAGTTGATAATGGTACTAAACTTTTTAATTGTGAAAAAATTGAACAATATTTTATTTCAGAATGAACATTTCCTTATTTGAGAATGAGTATTATTTTTTTAAAGAATGAACACTACGCCATTTATTATAATTATATTAGATAAATGTGTAAAAATGAGTACTTCTTTATTTTAAAATGAGTACTACCCTTGCCAGAATGAGTACTACGTATTTCGAAATGAATGTTTATATTTGTACGAAAATGAGTACTACTTTATTTCAGATTGAGTACTACCGAGATGTACCTATTTCTAGGTACATCCGGATGTACGATATACCAACTCCAAAAGAGTCTAGCCCCCTTCTTCACGCTTATTAATACATATTAAATGACAAGAATGCCATTGGCTTTTAAATTTTGCAGTGCATGCATGTCGGTCGGAGAGCTCATCCCAGGCGCACGATTTTACAAATTTGATGGCAGAAAACTATTCTTATTTCACTCACCAGCCTTCAATCTAACTGGAGCCACCCCCTCTTTATAGGTGAGAATATTCTAACACTGAGAATATGAGAATGGTGCATTTTCAGACTATCGTGATGCATTTTACCCTTGTAGCAGTGCATTTTCAAAAAGTCTAATTTGTTTACCAAATTGCCACTGATTTTTTCATATTTTTAGGTTTTTGATAGTCCTTAGATCTTTAATCAAATGGATCATATGCATTCTCATTTTTTCAATATGCACCATTCTTATCTAAACCAAAGTGTGTGTATTTTTTGGCCAGGACATCATATCAAGTTTGCTAAAACCCATAAATGTAACAAAATTGTCTTCATAAGGTAAAACATAGCATAGCAGGATAGGCTGTGTCTGAAATTGAAAATGCAGATGAAATATCTTAAACTAGCTGATAGAGCACAACAGCCAAAACTGGAATTCTTTATCATATATTGAAACAAAGATTCAATCATCCCCCTCAATGACGGTAGTGCCCAAGCCCTTGAGTCCCTCGGGAACCTCAGTAACAGTGACCGGCGAGTAAAGTTCTTCCTTATGTATGTATGTATGTACGTACATAAGTAACAGTGACCGGCGAGTAAAGTTCTTCCGTATGTATGTATGTACGTACGTACATATGTACGTACGTATGCACGTACATACATACGTAGGTAGGTATGTATGTACGTACGTATGTACATATGTACGTAGGTATGTATGTATGTATGTATGTATATATGCACACACACACAAACACATGCAGACATACATATAATAGACGTAGTTTACAAATATAAAACGTCTAAAACCCATAGTATTCGTAATTGTATCCCAAACATTTAATATACATCGAAAGTGATATTTTATAAAGCCTAAGATATTTTACACACACATGCATATTACCATATTATACGCAAGACGTATGTTACTAACTAGGGTTGATACGTACATTCTCAATTTGTTTAAGCACATAAAATTGAGCTTGTACGAAACACAGTTTAACACTAAGTTCTTTTAAGTCACTTTGTCCTAAAATTATCCATCTAAGTTCATGTCAATTGAAATGAAAAAAATATGTAATCTTGTATTTGAAAAGGAAAAATTACATTAAAAATCCCATCTTTTAGGCATTTACAAATACTAATCACAACCATCCTACGGTTACACCAAGGAATGTACTCCAAAGTGTACATTAAATGTATGCACTAACATTTTAATGGTTCACACTGACACATAATGCTAGTGCGATCAACAAATTTTGCACTAGCATTTTGTACCTGTGTGAGTACAATTTTTGGGGTAGAAGTAGCTTAATTCTAAACACAAACACCCATTACGGATCCCTATGTGGGTAAATGATGGTCCAACACAAACAACTACTAGGAAATGTCTGTTTATTCGGGATCACGAAATTATTTTCAAAAGAAAACCAAAAGGTATAGATTATTTGAGATAATTTCCTAAATCTTTTGTGAAGTATATGGAAACTTATTTAAAGGCAAGCCCTATAAACCAGAGGTGCAGTGCTCTGAAGCCATACCCGAACTCGCTCAATATCCCAAAGCATCCCCTCCAAATACATTATCAGTTATTCACAACAAAAGTTATGGATGCAGGAGGGATTGGTTCAAGAAAGGGCTAACACCAAATGTATTTATTGAAAATTTTCAATTCTCTTTTCATCTTTGACCTCCTGAAGTGGTAAGGAAATGAGATATCAAATTTCCAACCACTGGAAATGGTCTCTCAACAGTTTACACCTACCTATATAGGGAGTCAGGACACCCCAAATATGTGTATTACATGGATGTGTCTAAGTAGTTTCGAGTTGCAAGTGGAGGTCAATACATACATATCTTATGGATAGGGCTTCCCCGGAGACAGTTGTGTTCAGTCTTGATGAGATTGTCTTCAACGGATACTGATAGATCTATGAACTCTGCAACCATGGAAATCAATTTGGAAACTTGATTTTAAAAAATCACATGAGAGCTTCTTTTGATTGTATACATAAGATGCAAACAGAATGAAGTACACTAAAGCAATCATTTTCACAATGCTTTAGCTTCAAGTAAAGAATGGAATAGATAAAATGGCACATTAAACTTCTCTTGCTTCTTAACTATCTATGAAGTTGTGGGAAGTAAATGCAAGACAGTATCTAAGGTCTAGGCCTCTAGAGGAAATAGTCCCACTGTTTTTCACCGGAGTAAGGTTGCATAATTCTTTACCGCCCACACCCTACCAGAGTTCGGATTATACCCAGTTTGGCAGTTGTTTTTGTTGTTGTATCCAGACATTATGCCGATCTCTCATTTGGGAGCAAGAGAAATCCACTCAAACACAACCAATGTGTGCCACCAGTGGCAGGGTAACAAGGGGGAAACTTTGTGACCTATATAACTGGAAAATTGGACTACAAAATTAACAAGTTACAAGGTTTATCACAGACAAACAATGTCTCAGACTTTAAGGTAAAATTCCTCTCATCTAAAATCTGTGTTTTTATAAAATACGAACATAGTGGACTAATCGACAAATTACAATTAGTAATGAAATATTTAAAGTTATACTCCCTCTGTCCACCATAGATCTTCCCAGACACTATTCATAGGGTCAAACTTTACTCACTTTATTTACTCAATTTTACTAGTCATTTCATAAAATAATAGTCTTGTCACCTCTAATTTTGTAGAACTTTTCATGTAGTTTATTACTATATAAATTTTATTTTAAAATTTTACTCCTATAATCAATTAAATTGAATTGAAAATAAAGTCGGTCAAGCCTCGTAACGCGTAATGGGAAGATCATACATGGACGGAGGGAGTATATTTCTTCATTCACCAAAGATAACTATAAACGGAGTATATATTTATATGATGAAATATCATTACCATAACAAAATTATGCTTAAAGGTAGTACATAAACTTACATAACAAAGACTATGTAAGAAACAAATATCCTTAACTCTTCAAGCCCAACAAACCAACAAAGACAACAATTAATCAATACAAAAATAATATATTAAAATATTATTTTTTATGACATAGAGCTACTCTCAATAAAAGTAAAACTTTTTTTTTGAGGCTCAATAAAAGTGAACTGTTTTCTTTAAAAAAAAGTAAAAGTAGTTGTATATGCCTATTTTTAGGAGTGTGTTTTTCAAAAGCCTTAATAGAAAATTAGGTCTTTCGTAGACAAGCCCACTAACGTTTGAACCAGCCCAAATATTATTATGACCTATTTGGGCAGCCGTAATAACAAAGAGAGAGAGGGGGTTTGAGATTTGCTTGACAGAGTGAAATGCGAAACGTCCGTAAGTCAATGGCGGCGACAATGAATAGGAGATGCAAGTCTTTCTTCTTCCTATCTTCTTCTCCTCCTTCATCTTGTCTCAGTTTTGGAGCCATCTGCGACGCGTTTCTAGATTTTACATGTCTCAGAGCCGTCTCCGTGCAAAACGACCGGACGACTAGTCGGCAACTTAACACCAGTGGTATATATCCAACACGCCCCTCCCCCAAACACATACACGCCAAAGGAGTACCAATACATGTGTGTGTGTGTGGACGCATGAAGAAAGAAAGTAAATGCGGACCATACTAAGCTAAATTTTGACTTAAATTCCCTCAACAGCTATAGATGATTTGAGTGCACATCATCAAATGCAACCCCAACTATGAACATATGAGGTGAAAAGCTAACCTTGATATTAAAGAGAGCAGCACCATCATAAATCTGCTGTCCCACTTCAACCTTAAGGCCACTAACATGTCCAGCAATTGGAGCTTTCACCACATGCTATGTAATGGGGTGATTAAAAACAGGGAACAGTTTAAAATACTAAGGATAGGGCATGAATTTAAACAAAAATCAATTTTGCAAGTGCAAACCTCCATCTTCATTGCTTCTAATACCAATATTGGTTGGCTTTGTTGAACTTCTTCCCCATCCTTCACCAAAACTTTAACCACTAGACCAGCCATTGGGGCGACTACAGCCCCAGGAGGATGAGATGCAGACTCAATGAAAGGTTTGTGGTTCAGTTCATCATCATTAACAAGTTCAAGGCGTATACTTTGTTTGAAGTGATGATGGTATGGACCATGCCAAATGTGGATGTGCTTACAATGGTCCTACAACAACAAATATAAGATAAACTAGGCGCATTGTTATTCATTGAGTGAGGCATGTTTAAGC